AGAGAGAGAGAGAGTTGTTACCCTTAGCTGAGCAATTGTAAAGGGCACCAGGATGTCCATTGATGGTGTAAGAATCCGAGATATTAGGGCCTCCACCTGTTTGCAATGCCTGGCTGATGATGGCCTCTGTATCTGCTGTCCACCACTCTCCCAAGACAATGGGGATTTCCTTATGAGGCTTAGGGAAGGGGTAAGGAACCCCTATCTTAGGCAAAATAACAAAGGGACCATAAATAGTAGCCCTAAGCCATGATACATGGGCATGCCAAAAAAGGGTCCCTCTTTGTCCAATTATTGTGAAATTGTAAGTGTAGCTTTGGCCTGTTTGGATGGGGCATTGTGTTATATATGCAGGACCATCTGACCATCCAGTCTGAAGCTGCCGCACCCCATGCCTACACAAACACAGAGCAAAATTCCTACATTACAATGGAAATTCATGAATTATAAATAATGTACTTTAATAATCGATATGGAATGGCACTGAAAGAGAGAAAAAATACATATGAATCTAATTCTTGATAATTTACTGGGAGGTAACTTTTTTTGGAATATCTACGAATTTTTGTTTTTCTCATGAATTAATTTCTTGAATTACTAGAATTTTCCAATAATGTATTTTAAAACTTGAAATGGAATGGCACAGTTGGCAAGGAAAACAACATATGAATACATCCTAATTCTTGATAATTTCTTGGGAGGTAATATTTTTGGAATATCTGTGAATTTTGGATTTTTTCATGAATTAATTTTTTTTAAGGAAATGAGGAAAAATATGATGGAAATATTTTGATAATAAAATTTCTTGAGAATTAATTTCTTTATGGAAATGAGGAAAACCAAGAAGGGAAAAGAAATATTTTCTCTTTGAACTTGAATTAGAAATAATGTTTTTGTGGACTTAAATTTTCTTATTTTGTTCAACTGCGCACAGTAGCTTCTAATACGTCGAAGAACGAATCTTGTCCTTTAAAAAGAACGGACGTTGCTGCATGGTCAAGTTAGCACAAATCTCGTGATATGAGTGACATGTTTTCTTTTAAATTATGACACTTAACAAGAGAAAAAAAAATAACGTGCTTAGAAACCACATGTTTTTTTTTAAGATAATTCAGCGGGAAAGATACGTCCCAACGGCTCTACATGTTGTTTCAAATAGTTTCGGACTTAGTTTTTAAAGATGTTGTTAGTGGGAATGAAAAGAGGAGTCGGGTACGGGGTGCGACTACTACAACCCACCCCCTTTTACCGAAACCACATGATTTTTTAATTCACCCCTTTCCCGAAAATTACATGATGATATGTATCTTTTACAACCCAACCATAGTGTGGGTCAGATTATTAAATGTTTTAGTGGGATAGTGCCAATGAAAATGAAAACCCAAGGGATGACTAGGGGTACCACCCCGCCCGTTTACCGAAACCACATGATATGAATCAGCTAAAAAGGTCGCAGATATAAGCCAACTTTGATAGGGGGCAGTTCAGTTATTCAAAAAAAAAAAGAAAGGAAGTAGGGATAAAGGTCGTGACGGCCGGACCTGGGCCGCAACTTCTAGGGCCCGGTCTTTTTTGTCCCCATCAGATTGGTCAAAAAAAAAAAAGGAGCTGGGCTGCCCGGACCATTGCCAGGCCTAACTAGAAAGAGAGAGAGAACGGTGATTTGGGTCATTTAAAGGTTGTTCACACACCAATGAATGGTGACGTTGTTGGAGACGCGATTCACCACCTTCACCAGCACTTGGTCACCCTCTCGAGCCACGATCTTAGGGCCAGGCACCTTCCCATTCACCGTTATCACCTGCTTAGTGCGACACAATCGAGTGATATTTTGTAGCCTAACCTGCACCCACAAAACAGACGCACACCTCAGTCCCCACCCACACAAACACTCAAAAAGAGAGACAGAGAGAGAGTACATTGAAGGTATAACGCCTGGTTATGCTGGCCTCTGTAAGCCCAGGGGCGAACCCAAGTGTGGAAAAAGTGCAGAGAATCAAGACAATGGCGACAGAACTGAAGAATGCTGCCATGGTTTCTACTTCACTCTCACAGTTCGATTCTTGGTTCTTCGAGTTTGGGATTAGAGGGTATTTATAGAGAGAGAGAAAGGGGTTGGCAAGATATTGTTAGTAGTGTTTCTAGCTTCTTTTACTGTTATTTTATTTGGCTGTGTAGGTATGAGATTATCCATCTAGAGTATAGAAATACTACGTTAGAGAGAGAGAGAGAGAGAGGTAGGGTTTGTAGTGGTCAGAGAGAGAAGAGAGAGAGAGAGAGAGAGAGAGTAGGTTAGGTTGGTTGGTAGTGTGGTGGCGGCGTAGTTGGTTGGTTCGGTACGACGTCGTACGTTAACGTTAAGTAGTGTAGTAACGTTAAAGTTA